GAAGCTTCATTAGGCCTCATTTACTGACTGTTAGCATGTGATCTGTGATATTTCTACAGGAATATGTTTTTGGCACATGCCTCAAAGAATTATACTGGGTTATTTTCATTCTCACAAGTTTCACACTGTTTAAAAAGTATATAATCATTGAATGTTAACATTTATTTATACAGGTTAATAAGAATCAGCAATACTGTTTCCAGATATATAGAGACGTGTAGATGGACAGATAGATACATTTATTATTATTTATTATAATCTTTATTTGACTTATTTTTTATTTTTTATTTTTTTACTTATTGACTCTGACATGATTTCTACTTAATTTATTTATTGACTTTTATGAAATATTTTATTTATTTATACTTATTTACTTTATATATATACTTTTTTACTTTCTTACTCATTATATTTTCATGCTTTATTGTTACATTTTTATTTTTAAATCACATCAGTAATGCATGTTCCATTTATGGATTTATTTATTTATTTTTTACTTATTTGACTTATTTATTTTGACATTTATTAGTTTTTTTTTTTACTTATTGACTTTTTCACTAATTTATTTATTTGACTTTCTTGTTTTAACTTATTTATTTACTTGTTGACAAATTTATTTACTTGACTTTTTTTTTTACTTATTTACTTGTTGACTAATTTATGTAATTGACTTATTTGTTTTGACTCTTTATTTATAAATCAGTAGTGCGTAACCTGAGTCTTCTCCTCTAGAAAAACAGAAGTCGTTACAGGCCGTTTGGACCTTGTTGACTAATTTATGTAATTTACTTATTTGTTTTGACTCTTTATTTATAAATCTCATCAGTAGTGCGTAACCTGAGTCTTCTCCTCTAGAAAAACAGAAGTCGTTACAGGCCGTTTTGACAGCTGTACAGCTCTGTTTAGAGTTATATTTGAAGATTTCTTGTGAGTGCGTAAACAAAAACACAAGCTTGGCATTTGTTCCTGGGCAGCCTGCGGTGAGTTTGTGCTGTGGTCTGTTCCTCTGATGTCTTCTTACCTCACTGACACCTGTGCAGAGTCTCAGAGCGGCGCTCGGAGCTGAAGGGAGTTTGACCTCTGACCTCTGACCTCTGACCTCTGTGTGTGACAGCAGACGCTCGGCCTTCAGGAGCTTTAATGACCGACCGCTGGAGACGAGTCCAGAGTCAGAAAAATCAACATTCATACAGTACTGTTCAAAAGTTTGGGGACAGTAAGAAGAAATTCATACTTCTATGCAGCAAGGATGTATTAAAAGCATCAAAAGTGACCGTAAGGACATTTATAATGTTAGAAATGATTTCTGTTTCAAATAAATGCTGTTTTTTTTTCATCTGTTCATCAAAGAATTCTGAAAAAATTAAATGTATCGCAGTTTCCACAAAAATATTGTGCAGCACAACTGTTTTGAACACTGATAATAATCAATGATAATAATCACTAATAATAATAATCAGAATTGTGTCTCAAGCAGCAGATCAGAATATTAGAATGATTTCTGAAGATCATGTGACACTGAAGACTGGAGTAATGATGCTGAAAATTCAGCTTTGATCACAGGAATAAATGACAGTTTAACAGATATTAAAATAGAAAACAGTTACTTGAAATTGTAATAATATATCATGTTATTACTGTTTTTACTATATTTTTGATTAAATAAATGCAGCCTTGGTGAGCAGAAGAGACTTCATTCAAAAAAATCTCACCAACCCCAAACCTCAGTTAATGTGCTGTCTATGTAGGGCGCAGACGGCGGTATGAAACAGCTGTGTGTGATAATATCAGATCCCGCCGGAGTTTGATTAGCAGGAAAACACAGAGGATGATTGAGATTGATATGAGCCTCACAGTCATTTGGACCAGAGCGTGTGTGTGCGCACACACACACACTGGAGCGGTCAGGATCATGTATTATTAATCAGAGAAAGCAGCTGGAGTGTTCGGTCTGAGCTCCTGAGGGTTTGTCCATGTTGTGCAGAAACACACGTCCGTCTGAGAGGCTTTATTTAACAGTTAGCATGTTTAATATAGATGGATATTGTACAGAGAACCAGAAGAAAAAAAAGCTTTGTCAATTTAGTATTTTTTCATATCATTACATTGTTTAGAGCGTAAGAAAAAGATTTGATATACGATTTTGATTTATGCAATATGTGTGTAAAATTTCCATTAACTGGGTTTCCCATTAAACACAATGCATCTATACACTGTATCTTATTTGCATGTTAATATGCTGTTGGGACAGCATGTTGAAAAAAGAAGTGTAATAATGGGAGTAATAGTTGGTCAGATTTTCATAATAATATCTAATATTTCATAAGAATATATATATATATTAGAATCAAACCCAAATATATATATATTAGTGCTGTCAAACGATTAATCGCATCCAAAATAAAAGTTTTTGTTTACATAATATATGTATGTGTACTGTGTATATTTATTATGTATATATAAATACAAACACATGCATGAACATATTTAAGAAAAAAAAAAAATGTTTACATATTAAACATTTATATAGAATATAAAATATAATTATGTAAATACATGTAAATATTTTCAAAATATATACTTAATGTGTGTGTATTTATATATACATAATAAATATACACAGTACACAAACATATATTATGTAAACAAAAACTTTCATTCTGGATGCGATTAATCATTTGACAGCGCTGTTATATATTTATATTTATTTATTTTCCTATTCAATTGTTTTGTCTCCCAAGATGTGTAATAAACATGCTTTTAGTCCCGGTGTCCTCTACAGTGGACATACATGAAATGATTTCCTGAGATTCTGATTTATGACAAACAATTTGAAAATTAATCAGATTTAAATAAGAAAATATTATCATATTTCCATAAGGATGTACAATTTGACCACTAAATGAATGTCAGCCATCTTTAAAGACCAAGCAGAGGGAGTGGTCACGGTGAAACCTCCAATCATTCGCTCGTTACAGGACATCCAGACTTAAAACTGTGGCGGTCTCTGTCCACTGGGTCTGGGTCTCAGGAGGAGCAGGAAGTCGTTGGTCTTGAGGGAAACGCTCGTGTCTGATGTCGCTGGTTTTGCTTTTGTTGCAGTGTGCTGTGAAGCACTAAAGTCAGCGTATTTGACGAGCGAGTGACCGCGGCTGCTGTGTGTTTTATGCTGTCTGTGGTCAGTGTTGTGCAGCGAATCACTGAAAGCAGCAAGCTAGCTGTTTGAAAGCAGCGTGGCGTGACCTCTGACCTCTGACCTGATGCTGTGGGTTTGATTCTTTGTTGGTTTGTTGTGTTGCAAACGCAGCTTTACAGTCGAGTGAACTGAAGCGATAATCACACACACTGACCTACATATATTTGTCCAGACAGTTCATTGCAATTAAACAGTACAAATAAATGTTCACTGATTGTCGTTTTATGTCTACCGTTTATTGATAAAATATGTAGTTAAACACTGCTGTTTAGAATTTGTTTTTACAACTTTTACTGACCGTTTAATTTATATTTTATAAATATAAAACATTTGTGTCACTATTTGATTAAATAATTTAAATAAATACATATACTGTTGCCGTTGTTAATTATTATTATTATTATTATTATTTTATTATTATTATTATTATTATTATTATTATTATATTTTAATAGAAACACCTTGATATATGTGTATTCATATGTTCATATTCATGTAATAACATTTATATTTCATTAAATATTTTATATATTATATTATTAAATTATTTAAATAAAATAACAATTTACAATGTGAGAGAGATATTAAAAAACAACAAGTGCAGAAAGAAAAAGAAATGCAAAAGATGAAACAGCATCCTCAGAGAATCACACAAGAAAGACAATATCAGCAGAGTGAAAATTATTTTAAAATAAAAATTATTTTAAAAATATGAGGCGTTTTATTCATATGTAAGCATTCTCTGAGGATGCTGTTTCATCTTTTGCATTTCTTTTTCATTCTGCACGTGTTTTTTTTTTTTTATATATCTCTCTATATAAATATTGTGAATTGCTTTGAAATAGCTGAGAGATGCAGGATATGTTTATGAAGATTTAGCGTTTAAACACATGTTTTTAATTTACACAATCCCACGACTGATATTCAAATAAGTTGCACTGAATGCTGACATGTAAAACTGCACATCACCCGTCTGAGGTCTGTGTGTGTGTGTGCGCGTTTTTGTGACAAATGAGGACATAAATTTGTATAATGACAAGGGTATGACATAGGTATTACAAGGAGAAGGTGACTTTTCAGGACATTACCCCATGTCCCCACTTTTCAAAACGCTTATAAATCACACAGAATGGAGTGTATTGAAAATCTGAAATAGCACAAAGTTTCCTGTAAGGGGTAGGTTTAGGGCTAGGGTTGGTGTAGGGCAATAGCACAAACAGTTTGTACAGTATAAAAACCATTACACCTATGGGATGTCCCCAGCCTATGCAGAGTCCCCACTTTTCACAAAAACAAACCTGTGTGTGTGTGAGTGAGTGAGTGTGTGTGTGTGTGTAAGTGTGTGAGTTTGTATGTGTGTGTGTGTGTGTGTGTGTGTGTATATGTGTGTGTGTGAGTGTGTGTGTGTGTGAGTGTGTGAGTGCGTCTGTGTGTGAGTGAGTGAGTGAGAGAGAGAGAGAGAGAGAGTGTGTGTGTGTGTGTTCGTGTTTGTGTGTGTGTGTGTGTGACTGTCGTCTGGTCAATAGCTGCTTCAGATTGTTATTGATCCGTATGGCAGAAGCTCTTGTCAGAAGAGCCTGTATTTCAGGAGCCGGCGAGAGTGTGACTGTAAATAATGCGCTCGCTAACCTTCCCTGACCCTCAGAAACGACACACACACCTGTTTATTCATGTGCTGTTATTCTATCTCGATAAAGCCGCGCTTCACCACACCACTAAACTGCATCAGTCCCATTAGAATGGATTGAAAGCTGTTATGATATTGTGTCATGGTGTACTGAATTGGATTGAATTGTGTTGGCAGGCTCTTCAATCTGACTCTGAAGAAGCTGGTGATGCTGAAGGAGCTGGATAAAGATCTGACGTCTGTGGTCATCGCTGTCAAACTGCAGGTGATTGATTCTTTCACTCGTTCTTCTCATTTAACAGGAAACATAAATCAACTCTGTTCACTTAATGCACATTCTGGCTTATTGTGAACCATTCATCAGTGCACGTCATCTGAAACGACAGCAAAATAATATCAGCCAATAATATCACAGCACACTTTTTATGATCCAATCAAATCCTGATGGTTAAACTCAGGTCCCGCCCCAAAATATCACATGCTGCAAATTCAGTTTCTATTAAGATTACCATTCTATTAAGTGTGTGTGTGTGTGTGTATTTTTAAATATTACATTTAATTTTTATTTATTTTCCAAAGAAAATAACTTTTATTAAGGAGAGATTTATTCAGCATTAATTTGATTAAAAAAAAAAAACATTTGTAATGTTACATAAGATTTCTATTTCAAAATATTATTTGTGTACACTATTGTTAAATTTTTTATTTGTAATTTATTTATTTATTTATTCATTTATAATGTTACAAAAGGTTTCAAATATTTTTTTAATTAATTACATTTATTCATTTTTTTTATTTGTAATTGTATTTATTTATTTACAAAAATATTAAAAGATATTATTTTTATTTTGTTAATATTTAGCATTTATTTCAGCTTAATTTTTAAAAAATATTTTTATTTTTGTTTATTTTGCTTATTTTTTATTTTACATATTTCTTCCTGACAGTAAAGACATTTATAATGTTACATATATATATTGTTATTCTGTTAAAAAAAAATATATTTTTTTTAATTTGTAATTTATTTAGCTATTTGGAAAGAAATCAGTATTTTTACCCAGCAAATATGCATTAAATTAATCAAAAGTGACAGTAAAGACATTTGTGGTGTTACAGAAGATTTCTGTTTTAAATAATTTTTTTGTTTTCTATTTTTTTAAATAATAATAATCATAAGTTTTTCTTAAGCAGCAAATCAGCATATTAGAATGATTTCTGAGGATCATGTGACACTGAAGACTGGAGTGATGATGCTGAAAATTCAACTTTGATCACAGAAATAAATTACATTTTAAAAGATAGTCACACAGACATTAGCTATTTTAAGTAGTAATAATATTTAAAAAAATGTACTATATTTTTGATCAAATAAATGCAGCCTTGATAAGCAGAAGAAACTTCTTTTGAAAACATTAATAAAACCTCACTGTCCTCTTTCTGTGTCTTCTGCGGCTCTTAAAGACAAAGCGTCTAATGTTTGTTCACTCAGGGCTCGAAGCGAATCCTCCGATCCAATGAGATCCTCCTGCCATCGAGCGGCCAAACAGAGACAGACCTGCAGCTCACCTTCTCCTTACAGGTGAGTGTCAGCACAGTCTCTTCACGTGCGTATGGCCTCAAACCAACACTCACAGTCGTCTCTGTGTCCTCGCAGTATCCACACTTCCTGAAACGAGACGCCAACAAGCTGCAGATCATGCTGCAGAGGAGGAAGAGGTACAAGAACAGGACCATCCTGGGCTACAAGACGCTGGCGCTCGGCCTCATCAACATGGCAGAGGTTAGGCGTGGGAATTCTGCTGCTGTGTGCAAATACATCTTCACAACTTTCTAGTTTCTTTGCTTTTTGTTTCTAGTTGGAATCTCTGTAAGTCAGTACTGTCATCTTAAAAATAGGGTGTGAATCTTCACTGGTTTCACGATTCAATTCAGTTACAAACTCAATATCACGATGCATCAATGCTCAATTTTCAATATTACTGCACATGGCTACATTTTCATATCAAATTTATTTTGTGCAAAATGTACTTATATATATATATATATATAAGCAGGCTACTTTTTTAAAACAATGACTTATTTAAAATAAGCGTTCTTTATCTGAAAGTTTACAGACAATAGTTATTTTTTTTATTGCTGTGTGATTATTACTGATGAGATCTTAGACAATGGCAGCTTTAACAGGCTGCATTCACACTAATGCACAGTTTCCATATATCAGATGTGTTTACGTCAATTTCATATAAAAGTATTCAAAAATGCAAGTGCATTGCATGCATGCATTTAATTGAAAATGACATCAAGTGCATTGCATTTTTGCAAGTCTCAGCCGTTCTTTCGTTTGTGAACTGGTGATTGCTGGTGTTGTCAGGTGATGCAGCACCCCAGCGAAGGCGCTCAGGTCCTGGGTCTGCACAGTCAGCTGAAGGAAGTGTCCGTCCCTGTGGCCGAGATCCGGGTTTATTCTCTGTCCAGTCAGCCCATCGACCGCGAGGGACCCAAAGCCAAGATGAGCGGTGAGACACCAGCGGCTTTACTGCCACTGACCAATCACAGTCAAGTGTTCCAGAGTCACGTGACTGTCGTCTGCCACTTCAGTGTGAATAAAGGGAATTTATAGTGTTGTTCTTTTTCTTTGGCTCAGATCGTTCTCCAGACATTGATAACTACTCAGAGGAAGAGGAGGAGAGTTACTCGTCTGAGCAGGAGGGCAGCGACGACCCCGTTCACCATGTAGGTCCACTGTGTGTGTCTGTGTGTGTGTGTGTGTGTGTGTGTCTGTGTGTGTGTGTGTAAACTAAATAAATCTTCTCACTAGACATCAGTCACACCTGATATTTTATTTCAACACCTTTCCATTCTCACATCATCCTCAAAAAGATGGGGAAAATATGAAATGTATATAATAACAGAATTACAATTTTTGGCTGGACTATGCCTTTAAAAAAATTAAACAAAAATTAGAATTGTTGCCCTGGCAACTAACTGAAAATAAGCTGAGCGTCTAGGGCCAGCCATAACATAAATGAAACGTGCGCTCACTCTCAAGATAGTATCAAACAAAGAATAGATTTATTAACAAACTTATAATGAAAATGAGTAACAAAGGAGACAAATTCAGGAGTGGACAAGGCCAAAATAACAAACAAAAATAACTAATTTTAGTATACCCTCTAAATTCTCTAACCAAAATTAAACATAAAAGAAATACAACACAACTTCCCTACCTCCCTTAACTCAAAACATAGAACAAACAGTATATATAAAAGAAATGGCGTCACGCTCCCTACTTCCCTTAAACTAAATATTTACAAATAACAGAAATCAACTAAAACAAGAGCAAGTTTCTCAAAGCACACACGATCACAGAGGAACTCAAGACAGAGCAAAACCATAGACTGTATAAAACCATGGACGTAGTGTCCGTGACGTCACCCATAGATTTCTGAAGAGCGTTTTTGAAGCTCAAAGTAGGCGGAGCCGGCCGTCGCCATCTTGGCAGCGCATCACCGCGCGCTCCTCTCGGATAATCGAAAATGGGCAAAAAGGCGGGAGCTGGTTGCTGAAGCCACGCCCACCTAGCTTCACAGCAGTGTCAGCGGCGGCAATCCATCTGTCACTCAAGTGGCCACGCCCTTAATTATGCAGAACTTTAAGGCTTAATATAATTTAAACGGATGAGTTATAAAAAAAT